CAGCTACTTGGGAGGCTGAGGCAGGAGGATCACTTGAACCCAGGAGGTGGAGGTTGCAGTGAGCTGAGATCGCACCACTGCACTCCAGACTGGACAACAAGAGTGAAACTCTGTCTAAAAAAAAAAAAAAAAAAAAAAAAAAAAAAAATCACAGAAAGCCAAACAAGCCAAACACCAGATGTTTTCACTCATAGGTGGGTGTTGAACAACAAGAACACGTGGACTCAGGGGGAGGAACATCACACACTGGGGGCAGTAGGGGGGTGTAGGGGAGAGATGGGGTGGGTGGGGAGGGAAGGGAGGGTGGGGAGAGATAACATGGGGAGAAATGCCCGATATAGTATGCACCTGAAGTAAAATAAATAGATTTGTTTTTTAAATCTATGCGTTGTTATCTTATAGTTTAATATCTAGTGGGCATAATCTCATCCGCCTGCCTGTTGTTAGTCTATGTTTTAGAACTTTTTTAGCAGATCGTAGTGACTTACTCCTTTTTTTTTTAATAGAATTTATTTTTAAAGATAATTTTAGGTTTACAGAAAAATTGAGCAGAAGATAGAGAGATTTTTCTATATTTTCCTTACCTCCACACATACATAACCTTCCCCAATATTAACACCCACTTCCAGAGTGGCACATTTGCTACAGTTGATGAGCCTACATTGACACATAATTGTTCATCTGTTGCATCTTCTTCATGCCAAATGCTATTTTTATTTTTCAGATTTTTCATTATATTTACGGATTAACATAAAGAAAAGTGGCTTTTTGTTATTTTGAATCTTTCCTACAGAATATGATATTTGTTATATTTGTTTACACCATATTTAGATCTTTTGGTGATATTTTAAAAATTTTTTCATATATGTCAAGCTTATTTCATGTTATGTTTCTATTTAGAAAATTTTTCAGTGTTGAACTTTGAAAATGTGCTTTAAAATACATATTTTCTCTCTGTGGATTTTATATGAGAAGTCTAAAAATTTCTGTAGGCCGACCTAGAACTTTTGAGTGTTATTACAAATATAACTGTTCCCCTAATTTTCTTTTTGTAAAAGATTACGTGACTAATTTTATAGATCTATTTCTGGGTTCTCTATTCTGTTCTATTGATCCATGTTTCTCTTCTTTTGCCAAGTCACAATATCTTAATTACTACTGCCTTAGAGTAAAGCTTAAAAGGTAGTGTGAATTCTTCAGTATTTTTCTTCTTCTTTGGTATCATGTTGGATAATCTAGGTATTATTTCACTTTCCATATATACTTTAGAATTAGCTTATTGATATTCTAATACATCTATCCAGGATTTTGCTTTGATTGTATTGAATCTGTTGATAAATGTGTGTGGAACAAATACTTCAACAATATTGAGGTTCCCAATCCATGTACATGGAATACTTTTCTCTGATTTTTTCCATCATTGTTTTATCGTTTCCTGCATACAGTTCCTTTAATCATATATTTTACATCATTTCTACCTGTATAGGCAAGTTTTATATTATTAATATTCTTGTTTGTAACAATATTTTTTCTGGTATTATTGCTACAGGTACAGATTCAATAGTCAGCACCAGGCTTTTTGGCAAAACCACCTGAGTAATTTTCTGCTTGATTGAACATCAGTTTTTCGTGCTTTTAAAAGAAGGACTTATAGGAACTAGTTGTTACAAGATGATAATAAAGTCTCTGCTATGATTTTCTTGAACAATAGTTTGTTTACTGCAAAATTTCTTGGAAAAACATCTCATTGTGTTAGTATTTCTTGTCATGGAACATTTTAATGTACAAGTGGAATATAAACCTCGCTTTTTGTTATATATTGACTATAATAATTTACATCTCTCCATCAAGAATTACTCGTTTATATTAGATTTTTATTACATTTAACAAAATATAACTCTGTTGATTAACTATAACAAAATCATCTTTATCTCTTTAGAAAAGATACGTCCATTTAATGTGCATGCATAGGTATTAATTTTTATTTTCTGGATTTTTTTCTTTTAAATTTTTATTTTTTCATCTATTGTATTAATTTCCTCCCCTCAGAGACACCACCCAAGTAAAAGAAGTTGGATCTCCTTTCCTGTCTTCTACACCAACTATTTCACAAAGAATTTATCTAACACTTCATGACTTTTCATTTCCTTACCCCAATTACGCTTCATCATACTATTTTATGATTCTTATTGTATTAACAGTGTTATATTAATAGTACATTAAAAGTGTACAGCTTTCTTATTTACCTAAATTCCATAATCACTTTTTACCTTTTTTTCACTTCAGAGATCTACCAGTTTACTTTTGATCTTTTATTTTCTTGTAGGAAAAGTCAAGTGATACAAAGTAGCCACCTATTCTCATTACCAGTACTTTCTTTCCTCCTTTAAGTACTTTCCTCCCATAGTACCCCCCATCATTGAACATGTCATATATTCACTCAACTGATTTATTGCTTATCTCATTTCATTAAAATGTCCTATGGATATTACCTCCATAGGAGACAGATGTAATCTCTTTTGTTTATTGCCGTGTTCCTTTAGCCTAGAACAATGTAAGAAACAGAAAGGATGACCAGCAATTAGTTTGCATTGAATTGACTAACAAATACAATGGATACTGAGTGAATATTAAATTTACAGTGCATAATTTAGGGAATAATTATTTCAAAGACTGTGGGGGAAAGATGATTCTTTCAAATGCTCTGCTTAAATAAAGAACATGTAAGCTTCGCACTTCTAAGTTTTTTGTATTAAGTTCCAGATAAATTATATGATTATACTAAAATACTATCCTAACTTTTTCAGCCACACAGCTACAAAAAATTTAAATTTCAGTGTACCCATCACCTGAGCACTGGACGTTGTAACCAATGGGTAGTCTTTTATCCATCACCCCCTCCCACACTTCTGCCCACCCGCTGAGTCCCCAAAGTCCATTAGATCATTCATATGCTTTTGCATCCTCATAGCTTAGCTCCCACTTACAAGTGAGAACACATGATATTTGCTTTTCCATTCCTGAGTTACTTCACATGATACAGAATATACAAAATTTATTATCTTTGTACACTTCTTGTTTAAACATTGGGAATTGATTGAAAAAACGAGCGAGTGGGTTTTGAAGGTTTAGACTTATTTGTTCATTCAGTGAGCATTAATTGAGTGTTTATTATGTCCTATACCCTATTCTAGATGTTGAAGAAAATATAGCTCCTATTTCCTGAAATGTATCTTGTAATGAAGAGTCTCCCTTGCTAGCAGAATTATTCCTTCTCCTTTTCGAAGATTCTTTACCAAACTTTTCTAACAAAATAACCTCACAATAGGAAAGTAATATTACTCATGTCACATGTTCACTGTCTGTTATTTCTCTAAACTAAACCAGATTTGAGAGCATTCTTTGTGGATCAACTACAGTGTTAAACCTGGGAACTGAAAAGGTGCACATAGAAGTATGCAATTGCAGTAAAATGTATAATTTAGGAAAAAATAAAGAGAAATATATCTGTGAATGGCTTCTGAAAACTGTAAAGAATTAGGGTTGGACATGATTGTTGTTTGGGTTGAATTTGAGTAAGAGCGCATTTGCCTGATCTGCATTTTATGTGCTAGGTTAAGCAGATGGGAATGTTTATCATCACCCTTCTTGATTAGCTGACACATTTGGGATCAGTAGTGGGTCATGAAAACTAAATTTAATATGTCAGAAATTCCTAATCAAATGTATTTTAAAAATTCAAAAATATAGAGAAATAAAAATTTTGAGTAGAATTAACAGGCTTAAGACACTCACTATGAACTACGTCCTCTGAAGAACCCAGAGGTGAATTTATTCACCAAATCATTAAGAAATCTACCGCAGAGGAACATTGTGGTCTTCAAAAATTGTTTATTGATTAATTGTTCTCTGTAGGGAGATACTTCAGTTAAGTAATCTTTCTGATTTCAACTGAAATCCATGAACCCCAGGATAGCAAAAGCTGAGAAAATATTTCACAAAACGTTGCAGGCATATAAACTTGCTTCTCAAGTGCCTCAGATGGAACTGCTACCATCTTTTTTAGAGTAACTATATACTAGACAACCAGAATACTCACATTAACATGATAGAAAATATTAGAAACTGGCTCTGAGGTAATCATGAAATCCTAGTAAACTAACCACCTCTGTGGTTCACTGCTCAGAGTGGAACTACTTTGTCAGGTGATACATATTATTCCCTGGGAGTCTTTTAATCTCACCTAAAATTATTTTCTTGGTTTTAAATATATATTTATAACAACATCTGACAGAATTCTCGTATCAGTTTTAATCATTGTATGATCATTAGAGCATAAGAGGCCAAACTGAAGCATCTTTCTTTCAAAATAATAAATCAAAGTCAATACTCTCATATGGAGAATCATAGAGATTAGTGTTACCATCAGACATAAAATATGACTCTCTGTTTTTACTCTGAATAAGTAGGTTGACTTTGAGGGAAATATTATATCCTGTAATACATATCCTATCATAGGATAAATTTGGAATTGCCAATTCCAAATTTAACGATTTTTTTTCCTGATGTCTTCTTTGCCAGAGTAAATCAACCCAGCACTAGAATTTGATAAACAACTATTAAGCTGTCAAATGTGGGGTATTTTCCCCCTTAACTCCATGACTGGAGAACACTGGAAGAAGAAGGCTGAGAGAACGTTATGTGTATTTCCATCACATTGAGGTTTAGCCAACCCTTGGCTCCACGACATAAACATAGAATAAAAGGGCTTTAACTGTCTAGCATTACACAGGCTACTATGGCACACATTTTAAAAATATGTCTTCCTGCTTCTAGGACTAAAAGTATCTATTGGAGGAAGAAGGTAGGAGATTAATTTCATAAAAATTAGATTTATGTTATTTCAGTAAAATTTCTGTTGATCTAGTGTAGGTAACTATAATTCACTTTTGCTAACCAAATTTTCCTTCTACTAATAATAATGAGGGTGATGATGGTAGGCAGTCAGCATTCATCTGCACCTTTAAAACACACCAGACACTGTCCCAAGAGCATTTCAATAACTAATTTAATCCTACATTTAAAGTATGTACTTTATTAAGAAAGATTTTGTTAGTATGTGTAAATATTAAAGACAGTTTTACAGCCTCCCCAAATGTGCCTTTTTCTGCTGTGCAACAGAACAAGCCCTTTCATCGAAGTGCAATAAAGACTAGAGAGGATTAAAGATAGAGTTATCAGAAGCTGAAAGCTAACTGTTCATTGTTGTCTACTTTATCCAAAGACAACCACATTGAAATTTTCAGTCAAAGATGGTACCCTCGCTCTCACTCTTTTACTTTATTTTCTGTTAGCTTTTCAATTCTGCAGCTTTTATACTGGTCAGAACTTCTTTGAGTGATGACTGTGAATAGAATGCCAGCTTCTTATCAACAAACACTTACGAACTTCCAGCAGATGTTGCAAAAAGAGTCACTGATTTGTGCTACAATCAGCAGGGCAATTGTTTCATTTGGATTCTCTATGAAATCCAATGTATCCATTTTAGTTTGACTGACAGACATGAGTTTCTCTTCTGGTGAATTTTTCTGTACCATTCGAAATGCAAGCCTGATGGACAATGCTTTCACAAAAGACAAGAAATCATTTTTATCTTTCTCTCTCTAAAAATTGAAAGGAGCAATGTCTCTTGAATATTTATGTAAAATTCAAGGGGTTTGCATTCTTACCTGAATTTGGATCCATAGGAAAAATATATAGTCTATGCATATAAATCTGTTTCAGTCATTTTATTTTACAAAGCCTTGTTCTTATAACCATCATACTTAGTAATATCCAGTGAAAAAACTGTAGTGATTTCTTTGAAAATGTCAAATATGCTAAATATCAGAAATGCTTTATGCAAATAAGTATGAAACTGCCTATATAAAGCAATACAAGGACCCTCAACATTTGAAATTTATTAACAATTTATTCTGGTTTTATTTTCTCTTTTTAAATATTATATAAACAACTTTATTTGACCCATGCTTTGCCAGGAAGCAGTAAACCATGCTTCCTGAAAGTAAATATATCATAGAGTAAAATACTACAAAAATTGTAGAAATTAACTTAGAACATCCACACTTAAACAAGTAGTGCTTTCAAAATAGTCATTAGGCTATGGAAACACTTCAGCAAAAATCATTTTTATGAATATAGTCAGTTTGAGCACACTTCCTTTTAGACATTACTGGAGGAGTTTTTTTGCAGTATTATCTGATGACTATCTTCATCATTGTTGGAACTTAGTAAGTTTTATTTTTTTAAATGGAGTAATTTAGATGAATAATACCAATTTTATCAAATCAAACTGTAATATAAACAAATAGGATTGAAAATCCTATCTGTGCCGTGAAATGATTCCAAATGAGCTTCAAAATGAAGGTGACACATTTAAAAAAAAAGAAGAAGATTGTCTCACTCTTTCAAGAAACATAATTTGAAGAGGCCAGCTACTTCAATATATAAATTAATCTCATTAATACATTCAAGTTTCTGGAAGATGATGAATTATATGAAAATGATCATTACTGGAATACTTACTTCAAAATTCCTGTGATTTCTCATTGAAAACATTCCTTTATATATTTTTTAAAATTTTATTTTAATAGCTTTTGGGGAAACAGTGGTTTTTAGTTACATGAATAAGTTATTTTGTAGTGATTTCTGAGATTTTGTTTCACCCATCACCTGAGCACTGCACATTATAACCAATGTGTAGTCTTTTAACCATCTCTCCCCTCACACTTCTGCCCACTCCCTGAGTCTCCAAAGTCCATTAGATCATTCACATGCTTTTGCATCCTCATAGCTTAGCTCCCACTTACAAGTGAAAACACATGATATTTGGCTTTCCATTCCTGAGTTACTTCATATGATACAGAAAACTGACAGCTGTTTTAGTTAGAATATCTGGAGAAAAGGATTGTTACTTCATTTGCTTGGTCAGAGCAATACAACCAATAGGGTCTTAACAGAAAATAAATAATATAGTAAACATAAGTGATTAAAATAGTTCATACATTTTTTTCAGGAATCAGGGAAACCAGTAAAGGATGGTAAAGTATCTCAGTGCTAACAAATAAAAAAAAAAAAAAAAAGAAAAAGGTGTGGAAGTATTAGTTTGCTAGCAATGCCATAACAAATTATCACAGACCGAGTAGCAGAAACAACAGAATTATTTTCTCATGATTCTAGAGGCTGGAAGTCCATGATCAAGGTGACAGCAGGGCTGGTTTCTTTGAAGTTTCTCCTTTTGGCTTATAGATACTGTCTTCTCCAAGTACCTTCACATGGTATTTTCCCCTGTGCATGTCTCTGTCTTAATCTCCTTTTCTCATAAGGGCACCAGTCATGATAGATTAGAACCCACCCCAATAACCTCATTTAACTTGAATTACCTCTTTAAAGATGCTATCTCCAAAAACTGTTACCTTCTGAGGTACTGGGAGTTCGGACTTCAATATATGAAGAGTGAGAAAATCTGCAAAATTTAGTCCATCACAGGGAGTAATCACTGGAAACTACAGACAGCTAAAACTGTAGGAGAAAATTGCCTCACAGGAGTCTTGTGTAGAGGATATAGCCACCGCCAACATGTTTTACTCTTTCTCTCTCTTATTTTCTAGCTGGAGTGAAACAGATGTGACAGGGGAATCTAGTCATCACAGTTCATGAATGTCATACTCTCAGCAGATAGAACAAGGTGGAAAGGGGTAGAGAGAGCAGCAGCTGTAAAGAGACAACTCATTCACTACAGTCCATCTCTTTACCCTTTGTCGTTTGAATGAAAAACTCTCTCTCTCTCTCCATCACAGAAAAATCACAAGTTTTCATCAGCCATGATATTATGAAGAGTGATTTTAATACAGTTATATTCTCATTTGTAAATAGACGTAAACTCCAAATAATGTATATGAGTAAAGAAAGATTATAAAAAGAAATTTTAATTCACATAAAACACAGCTACTAGCATAGCATTTCTTAAATTCTCATGAAACTTAACCTTGCTAATCATAGCTTCCTTTTTATAGCATTCTTGTCATTTTCCTTCCACTGCCATCATGTTGGTTAGATAGAGTTCTTCTGGTGCAGTCATGGAAATCATCTTTTCTTCAACTTTAAAATATTTGATGACCTGTAATTATTGAGTGTTTAATGAGGGTAATTTTAGCTTTACAGAAAATATTTACAGGTAGTACAGAGAGATCCAATATACACTTACCTACTTTAATGTTATCATCTTACACACTATTGTACAGGTATCAAAAATAAAAATTAATTAATAGTATTAACTAAACTTGAAGTTTTATTTGGATCTAGAATTTTTTTACTAATGTCTCTTTTCTGTTTCAGAATCCAGTCACAAATGGTACATTGTATTTGCATTTAATTTTCATCTGTTTTAAATTTCCATTGTTCAATGACAAATGTTAAGCCTTTCCTTGCCTTTTAAAAGATTTTGACAGTTTTTAGAAGCTGTGGAAATACCCTCAATTTGGGTGTATATATATGTATTTTTTCTCATTACTGTGTTGGGTTATAGATTTTGAAGAAGAGGACTAGAATACATCAAAATGCTTTATCACTGATTATGTCGACCTTAATAATTTCAGTGTTTGTATGGTTTCCCCATTGTAAGTTACTATTTTCTCATTTCCATATTCTATTTTCTGAAGCAAGTCACTAATTCCAGCTCATTCTCAGGGAGGGGCAAATAAACTCCAACTCTTGGAATGGGGAGAAACACATTAATATATCATTTGAAAATATATTGTAAAAAAGTTTCTCTCATCGTCTTCATTTATTTATATATTAAATCATTTACTTTGACAATGTAAACCGATCAATATATACTTGTTTACTTTGGATTACAATTCCAACACCACATTTTCTACAGTGTTGTTCGAATTATTCTAACTTTGATCTCTGTGTGTTCTTTCAGATTGATCCGTGTGTCACTTTAACATATTTTCTTTATATTATTTTGTGAACATGTCCTTATTCTTTTTTTTTTCTTTTTTTTCTTTTTGGAGATGGAGTCTCATTCTGTCACTAGGCTGGAGTGTAGTGGCATGACCTTGGCTCACTGCAACCGCTGCCTCCCAGATTCAAGTGACTCTACTGCCTCAGCCTCTCAAGTAGCTGGGACTACAGGTGCACACCACCACACCGAGCTGATTTGTTTATTTTTAGTAGAGACATTGTTTCACCATGTTGGCCAGGCTGGTCTTGATCTCTGATTTCATGTTCCACCCACCTCGGCCTCCCAACACATCCTTATTTCATAGCACTCCATGATGCTCTGGGCTCATGCTGCATCTTTTTCTGTCTTATTCACCTAGTCAAATGCATTTAAGATCCATTGATGTTGATGGTATATGTACATGACTCAAGAGCTCATCTCTTGGATCACTGAATAGTATTTCATGGAATGGGGTGTGTATTTAACCCTCTGCTGAAGGACAAAGTTTCTCAAAGATGGGCAACTGAAGGGGCAGGGACTTGTGCTTCACTTTTGAGAAAGACATATTCCTGACATGACATACTCCTGACATGATATGACTCGCCAGGGTGGAGAGTTTGCGTCCCACAAGGATAGCATTCAATAGAGAATTCTAAAGTATTATAACTCAGTGGTTTTATATATATATATATATATATATATATATATATATATGTGTGTGTGTGTGTGTGTATATATATATATATATATATATATATATACGTAAAATAACGTAATGGCTAATCTAAACCATCTTTACAAAGCTAAAAGTATTCATCAGTATAAACACACACAGAAATGACACAGGTAATGAATTACCACTAAAATAATTTAAGAGCTATGGCAAATATTTTAAATATGTTCAAATAGTCAACATGTTCTTCAGAATGTAAGAGAATTATATTGTAGAGAGCCAAATGAGATGAGAGATTTTAGAGATAAAATTGACTATATCTGAAATGAAAATACGAGACTGATAGCAATTATGGACTAAAGCCTAATAAATTAGGGAACTCATAGAATATGCAATAGAAATGGTTAAAACTTTAGTGTAGAGAAAACAAAAGAGTTTTTAAAAAAGTAGCAACTCAGTTTCTTGTAGGTTGATATTACGCAATGCACCATACATATAATTGACATCCCCAAAAATTGGCACAAGAGAGAGAAAGAAAACAGTACTTTAGTATACTGACCAAACTCTTTCTACAGGTGAAAAGTAGTAACCAAGAGTTGAAATTCTTTTTAAATAAAAAAGGAAGGAAAACATAAAACAAAAAGAAACAAAACTCTCCAAGTAAGATAAACATAAAAGAAATGCAATTCTGTGGTAGCACATCATAATCATATTACTGACAAGAGTAATGAAAAGATACTCTTAAAACCAGCAAGAGATCAATAATATTAGCAAAGGAATGAGTATTACTGAGAACTGTTAAC